TTGTCGTCTGTGGCAAATAACGCACGAGTACTATTAATGTTCTTGTTAATGATTTCAGAGAAGAAAGACCCTGCATGTAGGATATTTTACAAAATACTTCCTCCACATTGTAGGTAAAACAAGACCACAATAACAAAGCTCTTTCTGTGTCATAGGAAGTAAAATGCTAAAACGGCACATTATAACTGATCAAATTGATAATTAAATACAGGTTTTACAGTTGTACAGTGGAACAAAACAACCCAATTATTTTAAAGGTAAGATAGCAAAAGTCTAATTAATTAAATCTCCCAGTTTTAGCTACAAACAAAACAATAGAATGTGCCAAAAGGAAGCAGTTCTACCAGTGTCTAATTTGAGTATAAACTGCTTTATTTCTAACTGTTTTCATAAACATTACACACTGTCTGTTTTTATGTAGACGTATTTTGTACCGTATGACCCCAGTCTTCTCCTGGTCTCTTTTTTTTTAATGGGACAAACCTATTTACATCTAGATATACACTTTAAAAAAATGTGATAATGTTTTAGGTTATTTACTAATAATTCAGCTTATCAAAATATTTTACTGTTTTCATACTTGTTTTTTTTTTTTAAACATGCTATTTTGGGTTTAGGTGGAGCTTTGTCCGTCTAAATTTCGTCACATGACCTGCTGATGTCTTGAGATGTTGCCACATAATTTTTATCTATTGTTCTATTAATATAAGTTCCGTTTGCATCAGCAGTCCCACACAAAATGATGTTCCCAACCCCCATAGTTCACAGCATCACAGAACTTATTTCCAAATAGTAGAGGAATTTACAAACTGGAATCTGCATAGTATATGTTGCTTTTGGAGGAATGGATTTTTCATCTTTTTGGCTTTTTTGATTTGCATAATTTTTTATGTAAATAAATAAGCATTCTTCACCTACTATTTTTCTTTTGCTTCAGGGTTAATATAAACATTTATTTCCAACTTACCTTCATCTCTCTAGCACAGAACCCATCTCCCTCCCTTATACTATGAAGGCTGCACATTCTCATGCTGATTATACTTGAATACAATCTTTTTTAATGGATGGAAGTTACTCCTTCAGGCATCTGGAAATGGTACCCTTAGATGAATTAGAATTGTGGTCTACAGTTCTATTCCTGATCATTGGATTTTCCCAGGTCTGTTTCAAGTTTTGTCTTTAATTACATCCACAGGTGTGTTTCAATTTAACTCAATTGTTTGGAATTAACCAATCTGAAGCTTGCAAACCAATACTATCATCATCTGGGCTTCTTCAATTCGTTTAAAGACATCAATAAATTAATAAAACGTAGACTGGTCATTATTTTGGTAATCAGCAAGTAGACATAGAATTTTCAATTTTTAGCTTGATTAAAAATTACAAAATGGAAGTCTGATCTTTTGTTAGAAGTGGATAAAGAGGTAACAAAGCAAGCATTAAAAGCCTACATGGAGCTGTAGGGAGTCGGTGGAGATAAGTCCAGCTGTTAAGAGTAATCTGCTGTAAATTTGAATTGCAGCTCCTTCTTTGTCAGGGAAGAGTGGGATAGGGGAGTTAATCTGCAGATGAAGACAACTATCTCATGTTCTATGATATTTGATTTTTTCATATTTGCCTTTAATTTTATTTTTTTTATTTTATTTTATTTTTCACTGTTGTTCCTTGCACTTTGAGATACGCCATCAATGTAAAGTGCACTACAAACTTCAGTTAGTATTATCTTAATATCTAAACCATTATTCTTATTATTATTTCCATGAGCAAGGTCTTGAACCTCAGAACCTCACTGAAAGTTAGAGCAGATGCACATACTGTAACTTCACATGAATTATAAGAACAACACGCCCTCTAGTGGCCGATCAGAAAAAAAGTGAATACAGGCAAGAGAAAATTGATACTTTAATACTTTTCAGAACAGTATCAGTGTGTTAAAGTTAAGATAGATAGATAGATAGATAGATAGATAGATAGATAGATAGATAGATAGATAGATAGATAGATAGATAGATAGATAGATAGATAGATAGATAGATAGATAGATAGATAGATAGATAGATAGATAGATAGATAGATAGATAGATAGATAGATAGATAGATAGATAGATAGATAGATAATTCTTCCCCATTAGAGGACAGTTTTGTTTATATCTTTTGTTTAATGGCCAAAGCAAAACACTGATAAGCATTAGAAATATTACTTAGAGATACATACATATATTCATTTATATCTTTTGCAAACTTATCTTTTATCTCTTGAAAAGATAAAATGGGATTTGGAAATAATTCTTTAGACAACAAGGAAGATTAATATTCTAACTGCCGTTACGCTTTTTTCTCAGGAACTGTAAAGAATGTGTGACCTGTCAGACAGGTGTACCTTTAATTATATCTGCATTCCTTTGTAGGATTCAGGATCAAAGCTGTGGTGTGGTTCATCTTCACTGCACAGACAATGCTTAAGTTTTTTTAAGGTCCTTCAACCTTTTAGCGTTTTGTCAGGTTAAAACCACAAACTCCACTGTAATGTGGGGATTTTTATGTGACAGACCAACGCAAAATATCTGTGAAGTGGAAGGGAAATGATTCATTCAGATGCAGGTCTTGTTGAACATATTTCTGACTAGTTTACTCTTCTTGAAGCCTTTTTATTTTCTTCTTGTAAAACAGGTGAACCTCAGTCTGGATGGATTGATCCTTTAAAGCTCCGGTTATACATTTAATGTCCTCATCCTTCTGAAAATGTATCACCACTGTCAAGCTTACTAGCTCCCCCACTCTCATTACTTAATCTTAACAATAACTTCCACCTTTTTACTATCCTGTAAAATGCATTTAGAGTCAAAAAAACGAATGATTTTCTTGCATAAAGATTTGCTCAACTGAGCTTTAAATCTCTGCAGCTTCTCTGTGCCCAGATTGTTAGCTTATATGGTTAGCACTTCCCTTAAACAATGAATGACATAGTTTTTGTATTTTTGAATATTGGTTGGAACAGTGTTTCATGAAGTGCTCAGTGCTTGGAAAACAGTTTTACTTCACAGCTTTGATCCCTGGCCTCCTTCCTTGATGTCGAGTTTTTCTTTCCTAATGTTCTCTAATAATCATCTGAGGCCTTCACAGAACACCTGTATTCATAAAGTCTAAGAATAAATGATAGATGGGTGTGGCTCTATATAATAATCAGGTGAAACTGAAGGCATCTGGTTGCACAGGATTTAATCTAGAGGAGATTATAGTAATGATCTTCATTATTATTATTTTACTTTACTCTAAGTAGCATTTAAACTACCACTTAACACAACTGAGTAGTTACTGTAACTTAGATATTGCTTAATTTTCTAAGTTGTAATTTATTAATCAAATATTTATAGAATCAACCTTGCATAAATGCTTTGCTCGGTAGATTGAACAATGCAGTTAGTGTAATTGAAAGAAGTTAGATCAAATTGCTCCTGCTCAGCGAGGTCTGGAAACATACTAATCTACAGTAGTCCTGTGTAATACCTTTACTTTTTTATTTTTAGGGCAATTAGCCCTACAAATAAGCAGATCCCGTCGCTGTATGAGATGTCCTATTTTTCTATAACTCACTTTTTGAAGTCCTAAAATTTTATTTAATTTCTGGGCTTTTGGGTGATTGCTTTAACTACAGCCTTTCCAGCTTAGTAAGATAGAGAAATACATTAATTAGTTTCTTGTCATTTCATGCATGCTTAAACAAAACTCCCATGAATTGCCTTGGCTTGCAGAGATGCGGTGACTCCCAGCATTTAATGGGCCTCGCTGCCACTCCAAACCAGTCCGATGTCATTCCTGCATCAGGCACAGCACTGTGTGCCTCAAGGCCAAACGGCTGGAAGAAACTCTGTCAGCCTAAAAGACAAACGGCTCACAAAGCAGCATTCAGGATCAGCTTTTTACCTACTGTAGATCCCTTTTAGCTCTTGAAATTTACTAAAGCTTGAGATGAAAAGGAAACTATAACTATACAGTACATTTGCTAGTATTGGATACAAACTGACACCTGGAGCAGACAAATAAAAAAAGTGAAATTAAATTTGCACTGTCAGGAAAGTGCCTTAAAATGTGTTTGCTCCATTGCAAAGAGAAAAATAAGCAATGCAAACCTGTTTCAAAGTATAAAAGTAATTGCCCCATTAAAGCTGATAGTAGAAATCTTAAGTAGAAAGAAGTGTCATCTAGCCTTTGTGAAGTTGGCGATGAGTCTGGAAAAAAATATATATATATTTTTTTATTTACAGAAATGTTTAAAGTCCTGCTTGAGTGTTTTTGAACATGAACTGGCCTGGTAATTTATCTATTTAGTCTTTTTTTAGTTCAGTCTGACCCTGTTTAAATCTTAATTTAAAGTTCTGGTTTTCACTTTCATTTCAACTCGGATCTGTTTAATTATATAGCTCTAATTCACAATGAATTTCAGCTTTAGGCACTTTACAGAGACAGTTTTGCTGACTACAATGTCTAAAATACAATGAAAATCAGGACAGGTGGAGTTCAGATGCAGCAAGTTCACCGAAACATTATTGTGTGATATATGTATTGCTATGATTACAACATAAGCTTTTAGATAAGGTTTTATATTTAGTCGTTGGGACAGGTAAATGTCTCTTTTTCCCAAGCAGAGTACGGGTTTGCTCTGCTTGGGGCTGGATCACATCCTACATAATAGTTCCCTGACTACCTCCACCGGTTTTTCCTGAAGATGCGCCCAGGGCGTTATCAGAGCGTGTAAAGGAAATAAAACTGCAAAAGTCCACATCAGTTTAACACTTTATATTTTTTTCAATTTACACATTCCCGTGAAAGACAAGAACACTTTCAGAGCTTATTATCTTCTTCCATGACAAACTTTAATTTTGACATTTAGTCAGAAACCTGTGAGGTAGGTAATTAGCAGTTAACCCCCCCAGCTCCTCTCCCTCCCTCTCCAAACAGTGGGTGTGTCTTCGTGTCTGAACACGGCATGCTGCAGTTGACAGACGGCTGTACTCCTATTTCTACCTGCCAGATGAGACACGGATAACAGCCCGTCCTTGCTGTGTATTTCTTCCAACTTTCTTCATTACTTGAATCATCAGATGATTCCCACCAGGAAAGGTGAGCCAATTTAACTCTAAATGTTCTTTTATTTTTTATTCTTAAACCATTAAAGTAACTCACTTTTAAAGCAGAACTCCCACTATGGCTGATTTACCAATGTGGGACATAGTCTTACAACAGGTGACTGACAGATGAGCTAAAATAAATATTTGTTTGCACATCCTATTATTTGACAGTAAGGAAAGGAAGATCGTAAACATAGTTATGAAATCATGAGAACTGCATTTGCTGTTGAACCAAAATCACTTTTTTTTTTGTCTGTTGCTCTCTTCATAGGACCCTTTCACAGCCGTTCGGTTGCTCGCACTGCTGGAAACTTTGCCTGCAATTTCTCGGCTTTAAAATTTCAGTCATTGTTTCTGGTCGTGTGTGTGATGTGCATTCCCATCTGAAATAGCAAGGAGACCCACAGTGAAGATTGTATAGATATTTTTTTTCTTGTTGGTGTTTTTTTTTTCTTTCTTTTTTTTAAATAAAAATCAGCTCAGATTCTGCACCATGTTTGTTCACTGTTGGTTTTATGATGGTAAATTGTCCCTGGAAGGTACAAAACAGCAGCCACATGGCGGTAGGCCTCATCATCATCTTTTTATAGATCTACTAACCTAGAGCACTATTTTGCATTGTTGAAGCTTTTTATTAAAACTAGAAGACTAGTGATGTATGAAACTGGAATCCTATCTGGTCTCAGTGGCAGCAGAACTTTTTGTATGCAGAGATGTTAAAACTAAAGTAGTTCAGTTGTCAAATCCCACAGGAGGGCAAGGCAGTGGTGTTACCACATGCACACACGCCTCTAGTAATGTCAGGTATGTTGGTGAACCAGCTCCACTTATTTGTTCTTAGATGATGGGCGTTAACTCTGTACTTTCCTTGTGTGGTGGCTCATTTTAATTAAAAATGCATGCAGACATGGGAGGAAAAAAAAAACTTGAAGCTTAGGATGGGAGTAAGAAAGGAAACGATTTGCACACATTTACATATATTGATGCTTGAAATAGATGTTTTAAATCTTATTAAAGGCTTGTTTTAATGTATTGTAAATGTTGCAATTTTCTTTTTTTGTAATTGTTATAAATTCCCTGTTACGTATCTTTTGGGTTGATTCTGCAATGCATAACAGACACCTGAGGGTCTGCACACTGTTAAACAGGTTATGCAAATGACTGAATGTAAACCAGTAACATTCAGAAGAAATGAGGCAATAACATGGGAGTTGGTTTAGACCGTATTTGTGTCCACACTTATCTTTGTGCCTTGTCAGCTCAGTTTGAAGTTTTAGATTAGTGTGAAGATGGAAGCTAAAATCATACTAAAGAGGGTAGAAAGCGAGTGAAGGAAATTGTCTTAGATTGGAGCTCGCTAAATCGATGAGATAAAAAAATTCCCAGCATAAATTTACTGCAAAGTTTAAAAAAAAGACAGCACTTTGCTTCTTGTTCTGCTCTGACTAATTCCTGAATGGCACAATAGTTAATATATTCACCTATCCTATAAAGTAACATTAAATAGTAACAAGTACACTTCAGTATAGATTCATTTTTTTTATAACAAATGTTCCTTAAAAACTGAGACTTGGAGTTTCCACCACATCAACATTTTTAAAAGCAATAAAAAAATGACCATTTTAGGATTTTTTATTTATTATTTATTTTATTTATTATTGTTCATGACTTAAATCAGCAGCTATGTTTATGTTGCAGCCACTGTCACCATCGTTGCTGTGTTCAGGGCACTGGAATAAAAAGCCTTCTTATATAAATGGAGTAATTCATAATGTTAGATATATTATGTAATATTAAGTATATACATTCTAGTGTTTGACTTTAAACTGAAACTGACCCCTTTTCTTACTTTGCAGATTTTAATTAAATTGTGCAGTAACCAGTTTTCTTCACTGCATGAACTTTAACAGTAACATTAAACTAGCACTATATACAAACAATTTATCTGTAAATAAAGCTAAATTAGGGTGAATTATACTTTACCAGTTAGAAAACCCTAGTTCTTGATTGGTTCATCAGAGGTCAAGAAACCTTTACCACAATTCCAATGTAGTAGAAATTTAACATCTGGTTAAAGAATATAGATGTCATAAATCAACTCAACCCATAGGGTCTAATTAAAAGCCATTACAGGTGGCCATCATTCCACAGCATCTGATAGGTAAACTGGAACAGCTGGGCTTCAATACACCCCTCTGCAATTGGCTGCTAGACTTCCTCACAGACAGGCCTCAGTCAGTCCGCATCGGACAGAACATCTCTGATGTCATCATCCTAAGCACAGGCTCCCCTTAGAGCTGCATCCCGAGGCCCGTTGTTCCCCCTGATGACACAGAGGTTCACAACCAATTACATGGTGAAGTCCGCAGATGACACCATGGTGGGTAGTCAAAAACGACGGGGACCACAAAGAGGAGGTGGAGCAGCTGGTGGACTGGTGCAGAGATAACAGCCTGATCCAGAACGTGGAGAAGTCGAAGTAGATCATTGTCAACTTCATGAAGAACCAGCCTAACACTGCTCATCAAGAGCTCACCTGTAGAGGTGATCAACAGCACCAAATTCCTGGGGGTGCAGATTACAGACAACTTTACCCGTACTTTAAACACCACCTCACTGGTCAAAAGGGCACAAAAGTGCTTGTACGTCCTGTGGAGGACAAGGAGAGCCCACCTACCCCCAACCATCCTCATCACCTTTTACAGAAACCCCATAGAGAGTGTTCTGACCAGCTGTCTCACTGTGTGCTGTGGAGGCTGCAGCTCCTCAGACTGAAAGAAAGTGAGGAGAGCAATGAGAACAGCAGAGATCATTGGGGCTCCCCCCCGCCCCCATGGACTGTTCTCCCTACTGCCCTGTGGGAAGAGACTCTGAAGCATCCGATGATGGTCCAGCAGATTCCAGAACAGCTTGAACTGTTGTATAAAATAGGGTTTAAAAGAAAAACAAAAATAAAACACTGAATGTTGGAAATCATATACCCGTCTTATGTTTACAGTTGATCACCATGTTTACATTTGATCACTGCTGCGCTTTAAAAATGGAAATGTGGAGAGGTGTAGGCCTATTGAACAACATTTCTTTTTGTATAAACTGTGTGTAAAAAATGACAAAGTCAAAGTAAAACGACTGTTATACAATGAATCTGAACCCTGTTACATCGGATTTCTTAATATCCCTAGATTAAAGATTCATAACCTTGGGGTATGGCCATAACCTAAACACTATTCCCGGAGGGTCTGATACAAAAGGTCAGTCCCAAACCACGTATTCTGTGGTTCGACTGGACCAGTCAGCCTTTGCATCAAAGGAGGGTCGTTGGAATCATATCTATGGTTGGAATCATTCAAAGGGTGTACCCGCGAAATAATGACGGAGGAAACAAGTGCAGTAAAATATAAGTTCTGCTGATTCGCTGTGACTTCGTGACGCTGACAGAAAATCAAGTTGGTAAACCTTAAAGGAAACGTAATCTAAAATACTAATACTGCCATTATTTAGCTTCAAGAAATGGGAAATTTGATGTAATTTCAACCTACGCCACAGAGCTACAGCCGTGCACACGCGGCGTCACTGCGTTGCCACAGCAACGACTTTCCTATTCCTCGTTTATATCCCCCCACGTCCAATCCAGACAACTTCCACAGCTGAGTGGGACTTCATTGATGGTTAAAGGTTATTGTTGAGGGGGCGTTTTGGGTTTAGGTCCTTTTATACTGAAATTCTGACGCTAACAAACAGGAAACAAGGTGTATAGATCAGGTTCACCACTTTTTAATGCCAACAACTGACGCGCCCACAAGGTGGCGCTCTGGGCAAATAATACATTAGAAGTCACATTTTAAAGGAAAATGGCAACTGCTACAATTTTTAAACCTTTTTTAATCCCTGAAAAGTAATAACATGGCACACGCCCCATTGAGTCAACACTTTAGCACAGTTTTATTCACCACCCTCATGTTTGTCTCCAGCAACACCAACAGCTCATACTTGGTTAAAGAAAACTGATATTTCTCTTTACAGATAGAAAACTTGAACAGAAGCTACTTTTCCATTTCAGCAACAGTAATGACAGCATAGGTGCTGAGAATCAGCACTGAGTATTCAAATTAAACAGGTTGCCATTACGTTTAATCCCCTAAACTTAAAATAAATGTGCTCTTAATTCCGTTTCTTCATTGAAAAGTAACAAAACAATGTAAATCTTTCAGCAGGACTTTTCTTAATTAGGATGGACTTTTTCAGCACTGTAAAATGATCTGTTATGTAAATTCCTTACAGGAAAGGATGTCTGCCTTTGATTGCAAGACAAATACCCGGAAGTGATGTCAGTAAAAGCTTGGGTCATGAGAAAACAATGACAGGAAAGTCAAATTTTAGTATAAAAATAAATATAAAGGTCCCTTTGAGAACAAATAACTGATACAGCACAAGAATTTGGCCATGAAGAAATAATCTAGAATTTGACAATAATTTTAACTTAATTTGACAGCATATCAGCATTAAAAAAGCAAATATTCAAACATACAACCTCTGTGCTGTAAAGCACAAGCATAAATCCAGCTTTGACAGACAACAGATGTACATGCATTTCAGTTTTAAACTGGAAATATGAAAAAAGTTGCAGAAAAGTCATTTTATACAAAGGATATGAACAAGTAGATATTTGTTTATTCAGACAGAATATTATTGGCTGCTTGTGGCTTTAGCCCTTTCTGATTATTAAGTAAAAGCTGGATTATTTTATATACAGCTGAAATGCATGTACAATCTCAGTAAGCATGCACAGAGAAACAGTAATTAAATATACAGTCATACCACGTTCAGTTTGAAGTTACAGAGGCTAAAAAACAAACAAAATGTCACAGAAAAGAAGAAAAATAAGATATTTAAGGGATTGTTCCCAAGCTCAATGACAATACAGAAAACAGAGTGCTAACAGCACAATGATAAAGGCCTGCTTTGTTGTTTTCTTTTGCCCTCGGTAAACCCAGACCAACAGAAATAGGCCTCGTACGAGTCACAGGCTGTGGCACATGGAGAAAGCCCGTCTATTGAACAGAGCGACAGTAGAGATGTCAAAAAGCAGCTGCCATGTTGATACACAAGACACTGTATTGGCAGAAGCAGACACAGACTGCCCACAAAGAGCAACGAAGAAACAGCCTGATTCCAGTATTTCCATCCAGAAGAGGAATGAAGCGATGATGATGATGGCACAGATCTCTGCATCTAATGACCAGAGCGGGTAAGGAGCAAAAATCATTTAAAATTTATGTGGCGAGTCTGGACCTTTGGCGAGTGCTAACGTCAGATTAACAAAAAAAAAAGTTGCTTCAATACTCACTGACTCACATCTCTGGTCAACTTAAAAGGGTTTAAAATAGAAAAAAAAAAAAGTCCAAGTCAACCACATTAGATTGTCCCCAAAGCTTTTGGCAAAAAGGATAGTGAATGTTTAAAAGGATAAATAAATATAAAAAAAGAAAGAATAGATGGAGGGCGGACAGCAGGTCTGGATGAGGTATAAATCCCAAGTCACCGCCTCTGATAGGCACCTAAAAAAAAAAAAATACAATCCCTCAGTTTGATCAGTCAGCCCACCTTTTATATTTAAAGGTTAAAAAAAAGAACATGTTTTTCAACATTTTCATGTAAATATGTACCTCTAGAAGTTGCTTCAGGTCTCTGTGGAGGGCGAGAGGCAGCGGGGTGGTCTGAGTATCCATACACTGAGCTAACATTCTCATAATCATGCGTACGAGGCTGAGGAGGTCTGTGGCAACAAAGAAACATCAGTTATTAAAATGCACAGTCATGAGAATTTATCAGTGATTTGCTGCGGATTTGGCCTGGTACCGAGCAGCTCTGTTGTTGTTCCTCTGTCTATGATGGTCGTACTCATCTCGCGTCCGAGGCCGCACCACCTCCTCCTGATAAGGTGAAAAACATTATTCTGATCAGTTATAGTCCTTCAACTGATACAGAACGATTCAACAACATTATTTTCTTTATTTTTGCCTTGAGAAAGAACGGTTGTGGGTCGGCTTTGTATAAATAGAGTTAAAAGACGTGGCTACCTTGTAG